CATTTAATAACACATACATAAAAGCAGTGATACAACAGTACATGTCTGAGGGTGAATGCCTCCTTGGATAGGTGAGAAGAAAGTCACATATAAGAGAGGGAGACAGATGCCATTAGGATGTTTATTTCCAAACATCCTCCAAGTTTGTCTTTTACAACAAGAAATGCATCTGTTACTATTTTTTAAATGGAAACGTAGTGCAGTGTAATGCTTGCTAACATAGTTAAAGGCTAGAGACAGTTAAAAAAAATACTTGAGTAACTCACTCAATTTACTGGAAATCAGCATTTTCCATAAAACATGTAAAACGAGGGTTTCACTTGTTTGTTGCTAGCAGTGACCCTGGTGAAAGCTGGAAGCATACATCAGCTTTCATCATGACAAGTGAAGCAAAGATGTCACCTCAGATGGATAACATGCATGAATTCTTTTCTGCCTGACGATTACTATGCTGAGAGCTTGCACACTTGAGTTATTGGTAGAGGTTATGAAGGTTGTAGGAAAAGTAATTGGCATAATATCTACAGTTATTTCCTCACTCACACGCTAAGCAGAGCAGCTACTTCCTCTTACGGTCATTTCAGAGAGAAGAAAAAAACCAAGCACCTCACAACTCTCACGTGCTTAACACCAAAGAAAAAAAAAACAAAAAAACCCCAAACAAAAAAAAAAACACCAAAAAACCAACCCACCAAAGCAAACAACTCCTACAATACCCTTTTACCTATTAAAAACAAGGAAACTAGTGAAGGTTATCCAAAAAAAAAAACCTATCTGCTGAGTCCACGTACATTAGTTAGGAACAAGATCTGATTCACTTCTGATTAACAGCCATCCCAGCGATAAATCACCTATATCTTCTACCTCGTATTGTTAATATGGAAAAAATACTCTAGAAAGTACTAGCATTTTGGAGCTTACTTTCACAGCTGATTGAATAGTTAACAAAGAATTATTTTACTATCCTCTTTCTCACTAGCATTTTGTTGAAATTTCACATTCTTCAAATAGGAAGTTTCAAGGTATTTCTGAAGCTTCTTCTAAAACTATATTGACTTTGCTTATTTTTTAAAGAAGTACTCAGGCATAGCACTTCTTAAATGCCAGTGTGAGACCAGAGTTGATCAATGACCATATATTGGTTACTCCATTTGTAAAACAATAGGAAGGTCACCACACCAGTATGATCTAACCTGACCAATCTCACCATTTTGGAGATACTAGGAAGACAACTCACCACTAACGTTTTTCTGCTTTTCCCAAACCAATAAGGAATTATTAATGCCCTTCACATCAGAGAAAAAGGTTCTTAGTATTTAAGTTCTGCCTTGAAATACACTGGTTTAGTCTTCTGGAAAGCAAGGTTTTAAATTGGAAACTCTGACAGAGCTTTAACTGCAGCAATAACAAATAACAGTGTAATTTCTCTTGAAAGAAATTGCTCTGTTTTCTCCTCCAGTTTCCAGCATAAAACCTTTCACTGTTGATACTGTTATCAATCTTATCTAGTGATCTTTTTACCTAAAGTAAAATTATAGAACAGAATTTTATGACAAGTATACAGCAGGCTTTGACACTAACAATACTCAAGATTTTGTAGACTTGGATTGGTTTTAGTGCTTGGTCAGAAAGGCCACCTTTCTTTCATGTAAAAAGTCAAAAAGCAACCTTAGAGGTTTTGCAAATGAATTAGTCATACCAATTAAGGGAAAGAAACTATGTAAGCATGATAAAAGGTGACTATCATCACCATCCTACCCTTACATTAAGGAATAAGAAAGAGACCTTTAACACATTGCTCTGAACACATAGGAAATTAAAAGTACCGTCTGGATAGTTACATTCTTTGACTTTCAATGAATCAGTATCGTCTGCAATACACATCCGACCTTTGAGAGAGAGGGGGAAAAAAACAAACCCAGACTGAACAAAGTAACTTCCAATTACATGCAATTGAAGCTGGAAGGGCTCTATCTCATGGTATGGTAACACAACCTAGAACTAGGCAGCCCTGCAGGGAGTTCTCCTTCACCCTCTCTCCCTCCTCAACAAGTTTTGAAAAGGCAAGACTCTGAAATTCATTGAGAAGAGGCTTGGTGTACCTGCTCTGATTAAAATACATGGCCCGTGGAACTTTTCAGGATTCATCTCAAAAAGACAGTGGCAGGGGGCACATGTAGAAAGCCACCACATACAAAGCACATCTGAAAGCACAAGACACTGCTGGGCTAACTGACAATCTAAACCCATAAGGGTCACAAAAATCAACATCACTGTGAAAGCTGCTCAGTCAGTTACGCTTGGGTAAAAGAAGCATCCTTGTTGTGGGTTTTGGGTTTGTTTGGATTTTTTTTTTTTTGGGGGGAGGGGGTTGTTTGGTTGGTTTTCTTAAACAAATGTTGTGCTTCCTGAGCTTCCCACTCCTTCGCCAGTATTGCTAGTAGTTGGGAAGGGGTTTATTTTGTGCCAGTGGTTGCAGTGGAATGCAATTCTTCCTCTGCATTGCCCCAGATGCACTTAGTGATTTCACTGTAATGCAGATTCCACATTCTCGGTGGGACCACAGAACAGCATAGTTTTCAATGCAGCAGTTAGAGCAGGCAAATATCAGTTCTATATTCAGATACCAAATTTTCTTAATGAAGATACAAAAAGCATCCATGAACTGCTTCTCTGAACCCATTTGTTGCTATCAAGTAAATAAACAACCTAAACAAGCAATTATTACATATAATATCCTATGCCCATATAATTTTGCATAACCATCCCAGCACACTTTCTCAAATGCTTTTAGCTCTTTATCCATTTTTTAAAAAATATCAGTCTAGAAAGCAGCAGTTGCCAGCAAATATTAGCATACTCAAGTCCTGTTGAATTCACAGGGCTTTTATCATCATCTTGTTTGCAAGTTTTGCTGTCATTCATCATTGCAAATCATCAGCTGTGCTTGTGGCTGAAGAAAATGCTAACTCTGAAGGCAGAGACGAGTGCAAATGCATTAATCAGAGATCATGATTTTTGCTACCAGGAATGTTATGCTCTCAGACACCTATAATTAGACATATCCATGCATCTACAATACTCTCAGTTACTCAAAACATTACGAGGACTGCCAGGTATGGGGTAAATAACCCACATAAAGCAAAAATAACAGGTAATACAAAGTATGTTTAAAATTAGGCTTAAAATTCGGCTACAGAAATACATTTTTGTCCTAGTATCTTTGAAAAACACACAAATAGCTTTCTGTAGAGCACATGCTGGCAGCTTAAATAGAGCTATTGTGTGAGCAGCATTAAATTTCTTTCCCAGTTTGCGGGGATGGAGGGGAGCAGAAGACAGGTGAGATTCATTGCCAGGTTTTCAGTTTTTCAACTTATTAAAATTACCTCTTAGGAAAAGGAAAAAAAAGGTCAGATTTTCCAGACTGTGTACTCCTTTTAGGAATGCTTTCCACAAAAAGAAACAGCAGGTGTGACTACATCCCCTCTGATAGCTTCATTAATCTGAAGCATAAATCACAGCCACATCTTTAATAACCTATGTACTGTATTAATTGTATACTTTTAAGCAGAGTTAGAACTGGGTTTCAGAACACCCTTAAGGATAAAATCCTGACATTTTTCAATACCCAAAGCAACAGCCACTACAAATTAACCAACATTTTCAGGATTATCAGAATTTTTAAAGAGTACATCTGCAGTTAAAAAAATCTGTAAAGTAACCTTCTAATATTCAGAAGAAAAGATGGTTCAGAAGTTCGGTGTTCTTGTTTTAACCTTTGCAACAGCTGCTGGATGTTAACCAATTTACATAAACAAGCCTCTGAATAAAGACAGCCAGCAAGATGCTGCATTAGGTAGTACATAAAAATAAAGTCAATGCCACCCATTGTCTGTTTAGAGCATAAAACAATCTAAAACTTTAAGCTCTGAATGCAACATGCACAATCAGAAAAGAAAATTAAGTAGTGGGTGGGCAGAATCTTTTCTGCCTACCCTGAACAATAATAACCACATTGCCTCTGCTGCAGCTGTCAGAGACCATCCCTTGGGCACTTCATTAGAAAAGCACAGAGCAAAGCACAGCTCAAAGTCACAGAGACTGATGTTACAGGTGGGCTGGACACACTTTTCTCTGTTTCCACAAGGAAAATTACTCTCTTCACAAAACAGTACAAAAACCTCAGCTTCAGATCTCCTTGTGTGAACCAACAGCACTGAGGAAAACAAAATAAAAGGCAGAACATTGCAGGCTCATCTCAAGCATCAGTGACTACGACTTGTCCCTGTGGTTTAATGACTCAAGGTTGACTTATTTAAAAACAACCTGAGTCAGTACAAGACCCACAAAGTTTGTGAGTATGCAACACTAAGGAGGCTAGGAGATCACACAAACAACCCAGCTACCACAGACACTCTTGGCTAACCCCCTGCACCTTCCTGAAACCCAAATACAAATGCAGAGTAAAATGCAAAATAATTAATCCACTATCTCCAAAGCCATCCCCACCTGTGTAAGTTGGCTTACAAACACTTCTTATACTCAACTTTCAAGCTCTCTGCCCACCACTCAGCTGCCACCATTTGTCATTCCTACTTTTTAACTCATCCTTTACACTCATGCCTGCAGTGTGATTCCTCTCCTTTTTGACTTGTTACCTTTTCCTGCATATTTTCTCTCAAGCACATTTTTACTCTCTCTTGATCTCCTTTCCATTCATTAGCCTGCTATTGTCTCTGCTCCATTTTAAGTGCTTCCATTATGAACTTTAAAGGTCAGTTTCAAAAGTCAAATCGAAACGTAAGCATCAAAACAGTCCCAACTTTATTTACAAACACTCTATACCATCCTAACAGGAAAGCATAGAATATTGTTTCCAATGTAACTTTAAGCATAAATAATTATACTTTTCCCTGGAAACAAGGGCTTGCAATTTACTAAGAAGCAAAGCCTTCCTGCTTTTCTATTTAAAGCAGAAATGGGGAAACAAGGCCTACCTGTGCAAGTTGCCCCAAAGAGTAGAGGGTGAATTCCTTTGGGTCTATGTAGACCATCTGTCCAATATCACGATATGGCTTCCCAGCTGGGGTGAAGTGTCCCTGAGTGAATTGCTTTTGCCTCCTACGGTAGTTTTCCCAGAACACTTGATCTCTTGAAGGTTCACTGCTTTTGAAAACTGTACTGCTTCTGGCCAAGACCCTTCCTTCATTGTGAGGAAAGCCAACTAAAGCCTGAATGCTCACAAAATCTCGCGGATTCAACACTTCTGTGGCTGCCAGTGTCTTGAGCCTGCTGGTTTTAGAAGGGTCTGATGCCACAGGTGTCTTGGCTTTGCTTTTCTGAGGAGAGTCTGGTTCCACAGGTGACTTGAGTTTGCTGCTCGTAGCTGCATTTGCAGCCACAGGTGCCTCAACTTTGTGGTTTTTAGATGCACCTGGCAGTGACATTGCTCCAGAATGGGGCCCTCTGTGTTTTTACTCCCTAGGTTATTAAAAACTCCAGCTTCCCAGGCATGAAAACAAATATATGCTGCCCAAACCCTGAAACAAATCCTTTTAATTTCCTACAGGGCAGCCCAGCAGAACAACCTGTTGCTAACTAACACGACACGGGGTCTCATTCCCCTCAGCAGCTCCTCAAGCAACAGAAACAAACCCGGGAAGCGCCTCTCCCCGAAGCCTTTCCTCGCGCACAAAAAACCTCCTTTTGATACCTATTTCTCACAGCCGCGCAACCTCCCCTCCCCGCAGTCCTCCCTCCAAGAGCCTCCAAACCGCTGGGATTACAGGGAACCGGCCTAAACACCCCCCCCAAACCTCCATTCCTGAGGCGGCGGGGAAGCCGAGCGGAGCCCGCTCCCCTCAGCGCCCCGGGGGACGGTTTAACGGCCGCCGCGCGCGACGCCCCGTTGCCCGGGAAAGCGATAAACGGTCCGTGCACAAGCGCCCCCGAGTAAGGAGCCTGGAACGGGGCCGTGCACAAGGGCTCGTGTGTCTGTGCAAGGAGACCGGCAACGAGCTGTGAAGAAGGGGCCGTCCTTGCACAAGGGGCCAACAAGGAGCCTCGGATGGGGCTGCACACGGGGTGCTGTGCAGCCAGCCTGGCTTCTGGGGGGCTGAGGAGCACGTCTTGCACCAGGGGCCACGTGTGGGGCGTTCTGTGCACCACGGGGCTGCTCGCTCACCACGGGGTTGTGCCACACCAGCGTTGTTCCACCCTGGGGACACCAGAGCTCGTGGCTGAGGGAGGACAAGGGCCCTAAGTAACACATTTCACCTGGAGGTGAACAAAACCTCACAACATTTTTAGCAGGCTCAGAGGTGAAAGCACTGGCAAGTAGGAAACCTAAATGTCACTGTAGCAGCAAAAAAATAATATTAATCAGTACTTTAATTAACTCCTTGGCTGCTCTCCCAGGCAGCAACACGGAGCACGTGGCCGAGCACCTCAACCCCCTGCGCCTGCTCCACAGGCAGGTGCTGTTCAACCCGAGAGAAAACCCATCAGATCTCACTCCTCCTCCACCACTTCCAGTAAAAGCCTTTTCAGTAAAATCCTCACTCCAACCTTGTCAAACAAGCAGCCACTGGTGGCAAATGAGAACTGAAGATGAATTTCTTACTGCATCTATTCGGCCCTAAAATACACAGGCAGTCAGCAGCAATAGCACATTATTTGAGGTGTATGATTTCCAGCAGATTGGGTATTTAGCCCGTCAACATCACTCCAACCATTCAGATCCTGCGAGCTCTCCAAAGGGCTGGGGTATCCAGAAACACCTCCTCCCTCCCCTCAGTCTTTCCTCTCAATCCTGAAAAAAAACCACCCTTGCTATTATTTCCCTGCATTTTAAACCCTCCAACACTTCCCTGCTATTACAACTTGTAATTTAGAGTGATGTGACCAGAGAGGGGATGACAAGAAGCTGTGACTTGCAGCCTGAGGCTGCAAAAGGACTTGAGGGCCATTTGCAGCCAGAAAGGATCCCCCCCACCTCATTTTCCTACCTGGATTTTTATTTTCTGCAGCCTAGATGGTCTCCCCAAAACCCAGGGTCTTGTCCTCCTTTGTTTTTCAGGAGAAACTTCTCATCCACACACAGGTTGGGGGCCAGAGGTGCTGATCTCCTGGTCTGCTAAATTGTGCAGCTGGAAATGCAATTTCTGCTACTTTTCTCATTGGCTGCAGCTTAATCATAGATGTTTCCAGCTGAAAAGAATATTCCCTGCACCCAGAGTTTGAGAGAGCCAGGAGAATTATCCCAATTTGGTAATGACCAATCTGAGCACCTGCTTTTGTCGTTCGAGGCTGCAGGGACCTGTTTGCAGCTAAAGCACTTCAGAAAGTACTAGTTTCAGTGACTTCCCTAATACAAACGGTGACATCCCATCTAGCACTGGGATTTCAGCCTTGGGGACTGAAGGAAAACGTCTGCTAGACATGTGAAAAATACAAACGTGGGATTTTCAAGCAGCCTTCATACCTAAAGATGTGCTTCTGCATCCACACCGTGAGGCTTTTGCGTCTGGATGTGGTGCTTGCTTGGTTTTGCTGATGGCATTTGAAGAAGCCTCAGCTCAACCTTTGGCTGCAGCAGGTTGAGACCTGCCAGTGCCTTCAGATCCCAGAGCAGAAGGACCCTGGCTGAGACACGTCACCCCCAGCACCTTCTGCTTATCAGCTTGAGTCAGTGCGGATGCTGCCGGGGACCTGGCTGGGCACGCGAGAGCCCAGAGGGCTTTAATGCTGTAATCCCTTGGAGTTGTGCCCAAAACACACTCTGCTTCCCTGCTGCATCCATTTTTTAATGGCCTTAAAACAACCAAAGTGCTGTTTGGCTTCATCAGGGTGCTCAGGGGCTGGGAAGGGCCCAGGGGGGCCAGGTGCAGGGTGATGTCTGCTGCAGACACCCTGTCTCTCCTGGTCTCCCCACCCTGCTCCTCGCACCTGCACCCCATGGGTAGCTTGGGGCAAAGCTTTGGCAAGAGATCTTTTCACCCAGGTGGTTTCCACAAGGCCATCAGGCCTTTCTCCTGGCTGTTTGCAGTTCATTTAATCCTGCATACTTCCATCCTGGAAAGAAGTTCCATCCAGAGCTGGGAGAGGAGCGAGCTGGGTGTTCCTGGCTCCTTTAGTGCCATTTCCTTATCCATAGGCTGCCTTCAAGAAAGAGGATGGATTAATCAGAAACAAACCAAAAAGATGGATCTATGGGTTTGTGTTTTTGGAGACACACAAAACCGTTTCCCTCCCACAGTCCACACAGACTCCTGGGGGAAGCTCCTGTCTCCAACCAAGCCAGGTGGGTTGTCCTTTCTCTTCCCCTCCTCAGCCCCATTTTTCCTCCACCCTGTTCATCATCTAGTCCCATTTCCAAGCAATACTCTAGGAACAGCAGGGATGCATTTGTTTCTTTTTCCCTTCCGTGACATTTCTCCATCCACCTTACAATTTTTTGGTGGCAATTTAACAGCTTTTACAAATTGCATTCCTATCTTTGTCTTGGTTATTGTTAGAGAGAAGAAAGTCCCATTTTTCACTGTGATCCTTCCGGTTTCTCTTGTCACTGTATATTTTATTTTTTTTTGTCCTTAGCTTTTATTTTCTTATCCCTCAAGGGCAGCCTTGGAAATTCAAAGCTGTTCTCTGACTATCAGCAGATCCAGTGCTCTCTTTTGGCAGTTCTGCAGTGACTGTCTCTTTTCCTTCTGTCCTTCCACCTAAATGACACTCTTTTCTCAATAAATTACCCTTTGTCTTTCAAAGCAGCATTTCCATTTGTGACAGTTTGGCTGTATAATAGTTGCATCCCAGCGGATACCTTCAGAAGCATCATCTAACAGGCCAATACAAACTCAGTGGTGCAGAAAATAAAGAGATTTATGTATTTTGGACTTTATTTTCCACCCCCTTCCCCCCCCCAACAGTTGGGCTGTGCTCTGAATTTTCAAAATTTGAGTTTAAAGGTATGATTTCTTACGACCAAGAAAACATCTCCTGGAATGGAGGGATGACTGAACCTATGTCTGGATTCCCCTTTTTCAACATAACATCCCTGGGGGTCCCTGGAAAATGCCCCTGGGGCTGCCAAGTCCACCCAGCTGTGCCCCCTGGCATAGGGCTTGGTGATCCCAGTATGATGCCCACAATGCATAAAGCACCAAAACCTGCTGAAAACACAAATCCAGCACTGCCAGCAGCACATTCCAAATCCCTCTACCCTATTTTGAGCATTTAGCAACTTTCACACATCACAGGGAGGTGCAAGCAGAAGGCAAATAGAACTATCACCCACAGCAACACCCATGGGCACCTTACATGGTCCCAAAGAACATGAAGGTGATCTGGGAAGATTTCTCTGCTAGGAACGAGGAAATCTGTTTGTAGTTATCCAGCATTTTCCACTCTTTATGGCAGAAACATGCTGGAAAAACAGGTCAAAAGCAAAAGCCCATGATTGCTTTTGCTACAGAGGGAACATTGATTTTTGCAGACATTTCCTCGCAATTATGATGGTGATCGATTAAGTGCTGCTGTTGCTCATGCTCTTGCTAATGGGGGGGAGGGAAATAAATGTGCAGCAGAGCTGGAGCAGGCTCAGCTGGAGCAGGGATTTGGGGTGTCCCAAGGGTCCCCATGGGCAGGAAGGGCTCCTGGGGACACCTGAGCCAGTTGTCACAGCGGGGGTGTTCCCAGGAGCCCTCCCTGCCCATAGGGACACACATGCACACAGAGGGGGGATGCAAGTGATAAAGCTCAATACATTTGGATGCTCACACCCCACTCCCATCAGATGCCATGTGTGTGGACACATCCCAGGGGATGAGGATGAAGATGTCAAAGCCAGGGCTTGTGACAAGAGCATCTCCCCACCCCCTGCAAACTGCCCAAAAGCAACAAATTGGGCGTTTTTATAGAAGTTGTCGAGATCCAGACCTTGGCTTTAGCAGCCTGGGACTTTCCTCTTGCAGCCTTGCACCTTCTGTCTCCTTTCCAAACACCAGACAAGCTAAACATTATTTTACAACCCTGGCATCTGGCTCACAGCTCTGGGCAAGCCTCTCAGCCTGTCACTGCTGAGATAAATGAGCCCGTTTCAGTGGTCGACTTCATAAAAGTATATGAAAAGTAGTTAACAAAAGGGTATTTCACGAAGCCAGGAATGCAAATGCAACCTCTGAGATAACTAATTAACTGAAGCAGCCATTAAAAGGGGAAGCAGCTTCCCATCTGTGGAAATAGATGTCATTTTATAAAAGCTCTAATTAGTTATGCCCAGTCCTGCAGCCGTTTGGTTGATGATGCACGTGGGCTGCCTCCCACTCTGCAGCTCCTGGGGCTGTGGAGGTAAAGATGTTGGGGAAGAGCCACTTTATCTTACAAAAATCCCCTATGAGGGTTGTGTTTTCAGCAGCAAACAAAACCAGGGTTGTTTTGTGGAGGTGGC